AATCGTATATAGGAGAGAATAGCCTAAATAAAATTAGAATACGACGATGAAACCCGCGCAGAAATAGTTACATTATTGATGCAAATCCCACCTAAAATAGTAACTAGCCCTGATTAAGTATAGAACTGCATCAAGTTATCACCTCTGCGCAGATTTCACCCTTTCATATTAGAATTATTAAATTCAATCAACTCTTACAGGCAGATCTTTTCTCTTGTGATTGTTGTCCCCTTGGAGTATATTGTTGACCATTTTTTAATGTCCAGAAGGCGTTTAACATCGATTGATATGATTCTTTAAGGGCATTTTTAGCAACATCAAGAGAAACTGGATCTGATCGAGAAGGGTTCATGTTTGGAGAAATTACGTATATGATCTGTCGTATTTATAAAATGATGAGAATTTAGACTTATTTTACATAAAAAATTGACAACAATTTAGTAATAAATAACCTGTTTTACGCCTTGATAAAATTCACTGGCTGATGGTATAGGTACGGGATATGCTTCACCAACCTAATTACACATAAAAATATTTTTAAAATTTATTTGTATTCCTATTTGTATCTCTATACATTTAATTACTCACTACTCCCGGATCCGGATATAGCCGTTTTATCTCTTCAAATAATTTTGATCCTATAACGTCATATAAACTTTTACCCAAAGGTGTCACACCTGATCAAAAAGAAACTTTTAACGTGATAATCAAATAATACAATGTATTTAAAGCAATAATGCGGACCATGCATACCGGGTTTTAACCTCCATGTTGATTCGTTTACAATGTATCTACAAAAAACAATATATATATATATATATATATCAAAGACCAAGTGAAATATGACAAAAATTTTAGATCATACTCTATCTCAGTTTCAATCATTATTTCAACAAAATCTCCAAGTTTCATTTGAAACCTTGATTCCTCATTATCTCTAAATTTCTCCCATTCCTACATTACGATTTTTTAAAATGCTTAAAATTATAATCTGATATGGAGAAAAATAAATAAAGCAAATAAACTAATTTTTACCAATTCAAAGGCATTTAACACTCGATCATCTTGATCGATCAAAATCAATTGAAAGTCTAAATCATTTTTGTGAGAATTTAAAAATTCTTTTATAACCTTCAGGTTTTAAACTTAAATATGATCAGTCAAATCCGATCAATAAATATCGTTATAGAATTGATTGACTTATCACACTAACTTCACAAGCAATACGTGCAGCTTCATCGATTGGTATTTGCCCGATAGTTGTAGAGAGTGAAGGAAACCCAAGTTTGATCATGTTATTATCACTTAATTTTTTATCATCCTTTTTTAAAATTTATATTTAATATATTTGGTTTTACGAAAAATGGTCAAAAAAAAGTGCATAAAAAGAAATTCAAGTAAAAAAAAAAAACTAAAAGTAATATTGCGAAAAACCTTTCTTTTTAATTTGGGATCGATATTTTGGAAGTTCGTCTCTGAACTAGATTTTTCAAGGTTATACTCGTTCATTCAAACTGAGTTTTAAGATACTGTAAGGCTCGAAGTAAATTACGAGTAGAGTCCTGGTCCAAGAAGTCCGAGTTCGGAACAGTTCCAAACCCAAGTCCGAATAATTATGTAAAAGTCACGTTAGAGTTCCAAAGTTACACTCAAGTTTTGAGCCTAGTTTCGGACCTAGTTTCGAACTCGGTCCTAAAACTTAGTGTTCATATTTTAAACCGCAATATTTAACGTTAAAAAATTTTTATCGTTATTAGCCAACATTATGAATGTACTCTTTAGGATTTCAAGGTAATCCAATATTACCCGTTGAATATGATAAAAGAACTGAAAAAGGGCACGATATGCCGTTAAGTAAATGGTGCCTTGGTGATCTTTGTGATGCAGAAAATCTGAATGGCTAGGTATTAGCGTTGAGGTTGTAGTCTTAAATATAGTCTGTGGACCAATTTCGTATTTAGACAGATATTTGGAGGTGAGTCAATAGAAATCCAGCAATTTTTTATAATAAAAATTTTTTGACTTTAAACAATAATTTATTAACAAAAAACTTAACCCAATTTAATAAAAATTTTTTTAAATAAATTTTACAAATTTGTAAAATTAATTAATTAAATTTGATTAAGTTTTTGTTAAGCTATTCTTGTTTAAAGTTTTAAAAAAACTTATTAAAAAATATTTGCTTGATTTCTATTAACTTAACTCTATTTATTTACAAACAATTAAATTATATAAAAATATTAATAAAATTTTTATAATTTAAGCAATTAAATTATAAAATGTGTAATAATTCTGTAATAATTGTCGCGGATGATCGTGAAATCGGATGATGGTGAAATTTAGGGGTCTCGATTTGAAAATATAAGCCCTAC